TTTCAAATTTATAAATGGAATTTAATACTGGCATGGTGTGTGCCGTATTAAATACTGATTTATTTTCGTTAGGTATTTTATACCAGTATTTCTAGGCAACGCTAATAATACATACTGTATGCATATACTCGACCATTGCGCCACGTTGCAGCAGTATTCAATGTAGCTGAGCATACACACAGTAGAGACTCCACTGAAAACTATTTAGTTATTTACAAGTAACAGCTGGTAAGTAAATAAATTTATAATTTACACTAAACGAAATTACAATAATGACAGAACGCATTGCTTTACATTCACAATGCTCAACTAATTGCTTCATGAAAGGCATGTTATTAGCGCGAATACATTTTGTATGTGTATTTACTTTGTTTACAAATTCCTTGCCACTAAAATACATACACTTCGTATATGTAGTCGGACAAAAGAATATTTACAATAATGGAAAACATTCCAATGTGTCATGTATTTACTTAACATGCCCAGATATTGATTATACATGTTCATCGAATGTCCTTGTAGTACGTACAAATACAAATGACGTTTCTGTATTAAATACTATTTGCTACAACTAACAAAGTCAAGGTGAAATGTCTTACAGATGAAGCCAATCCCTAACGATTTACATTATTTCATTTACAGAAAATCACTATGAAAATGAAGCTCGCCCTTTTGGTAGTTGTCATTCTGCTGGGTACAGTACAGTGATACTGGTATGCGGATCTGAACCTCCCCCTGAAGTACGTGTGCATGACATTGTACAACGAAGTGCTGGGATGGAATCTGAGGGTCCCACTCGAAGAAGATTACATCACAGAGTAGCAAGAAGCGTTGGCATGGAGTCTGAGATGCCACCTCCAGGAAGATTACATAAAAGAGTGCAACGAAGTGATGGGATATAATCGTTCAACCATCCCTAACATGTATTTCCGTTTGTCTGTTTGTCGCCATGCATGTATATCCATAACGATAAATATTTACCACATGGAAACGGATTTTAAATTTGTTCATTTCGACGTTATACTTCAACTGGCCTCAATAATACTATAAGTGCCATTTTCTGGCTAATTGATATTGTGAATGCGAAAAGTAACTTATCACATAAACGAAATTGGTAATTAATAAAAAAAACTAAAACAGGCTACCAAGCATTGGTTTAAACAATGGTGTTGTGTCGGATGGGGAAAATAACAAGTCAACCCATTTTGACCACTATGCACAACGCACACAATTATTCTTACCCTGTTTATGCATGTATTTATGTATGTATGTTCCTTTAGATATACAGAACCACCTCAGACTTTATTTTTAATGAAATCCCACACAAGTTGCAAGAAACGAGAGCTACAAAATATTGCAATTGAAGAAATAATGGACAGCATCCAAAGAAAAAAAAAAGCAGTTTTGTAACACACGAATGAAACAAAAACTACATTTCCTGCATAGTGCCCCAGTGAAAACAATAATTATAGTGATCGATTCAACCACAGTTTGCAAAGCTCACCTTGAATAGTCAGATAACACATCAATACAGGAACTCTGACAGCACAGTCACCACAGAAGAGCTCAATACAGGAACTCTGACAGCACAGTCACCACAGTGGAGCTCAAAATACAGGAAATCTGACAAGCACAGTCACCACAGTAAAGAGCTCACCACGGGAAATTTGACAACACAGTCACCAGAGTAGAGCTCACCACGGGAAATCTGACAACACAGTCACTACAGTAGAGCTCACCACGGGAAATCTGACAACACAGTCACCACAGTAGAGCGCGCCACATAAAATCTGACAACACAGTCATCACAGTAGAGCTCAATACAGGAAATCTGACAACACAGTCACCACAGTAGAGCTCACCGCGGGAAATTTGACAACACAGTCACCACAGTAAAGCTCAATACAGGAACTCTGACAGCACAGTCACCACAGTAGAGCTCAATACAGGAACTCTGACAGCACAGTCACCACAGTAGAGATCAATACAGGGACTCTGACAGCACAGTCACCATAGTAGAGCTTAATACAGGAACTCTGACAGCACAGTCACTACACTAGAGCTCAATACAGGAACTCTGACAGCACAGTCACCACAGCAGAGCTCAATACAGGAACTCTGACAGCTCAGTCACCACAGTAGAGCTCAATAGAGGGACTCTTACAGCACAGTCACCACAGCAGAGCTCACCATGGGAAATCTGACAGCACAGTCACCACAGTAGAGCTCACCACGGGAAATTTGACAACACAGTCACC